TTTCCAACTTGGGGACTGCGATTCACTTTGTCCTTGTTAAACATGTGCTTTGGTATTTTTGCCTTTGTCTCACAGCAAAGGTCTATGACTCTGACCTTAATGCCACCTGACTCATTCTCCGCATGGCAAAGACTCCAGGTGGAGGAAGACAGATGGTGGTCCGCATCCTCAGCACGTGGGCTGTGGCAACAGGGGGCCGGGAGCGTGAGCCATGTGCCCAGGATTTACAGCCTTAGCTGCAGTGAACCCCTAGTCTCTGACGTTCCCTCGTCCCTGGTATTGCCATCGTCTCCAGGGTGACAGCCTTGTCCTTCTAGGCCATGCCATCCTAAAGGTATCGCTCTTCACTCTCTCCTTGGCAACTCGCTGATGCAAATGCCTACAAACCTCATACCTAATTGGGCCAAATTCAGTTTTTGGCCCTGACATTTTGTTAAAGTGTCATAGAATATATCACTTAAGAAAACAAATAAAATATGGTACTACACAGTCAATAAATGTACTGTAACCCCCTATCTAATTCTACATCTACAAGCTTGGAGTCTGACGTGATGAGCATGTCTGGAACAGACTGAGCAGCATTCTGTCATGAGACCAGCAGAGGAGGAGGATAAAGGGTTTGTGCTGGTTTAAATACATGCTGGCAAGTGTGAAATGCTTCATGAATGATGCAGGTAAGCTCAGTCCCGGCCGAAGCAGATCCTGTTGGTAAGGGAGGGGCAGAAACTCAGCTAGTGGCAGTTAGCAGAACAAAGAGCACTCGTGAGTGCCACTTCTGCACCGTGGAACATGCCCGCTTCAGCCAAATCCACAGGACTGCTGGCTTTTTAAACCATATGGGATCACAGAGACCATAGACAATCAGATGAAAGCTATCTCTGCAGGAAAATGCTCATATTTGCAGATAATTCCAGGGTTCCACTGATCCTCAAGGCCCAGCACGGCCACTTTGTGAGTTATCGGTCATTCAGGATTAATTATTCATGTAGTATTGGCGTGCACACGGAAAGAGGGACCGCGGAGTCCCATTCCAGTTAGATGGCAGCAGTAGTGCCATGAGAGGAGACCCCGTTTCACTACATACGTAGTAATCAGCAACAAACTAGGGATATTTCCCCCAATGTGTTCTGACCCATTAGCAATACAGATGTAACAAATGCACGAGGAGCAGTTTACCTAAGAATCCCATAATTATGTGAGCCGGCTCTTTAGTGACTTCTGAAAAGTTAAAGCAGATGTTTATAAAGTATCGCCAAGTGTGTAATCTAATAGCTAAACGGCAAAACTCTAGTGTTTTAATCAAGATGAACTAAAGTGAGGTGCTGCAGACTCCGTCTCCTCTTCACGTTAATTATTTGCTCTGTGATGACACTGTTTTCTGGGCAGAACTGACGCATCGGAAACAGAAAGTCACTGTTCAGTCTACTAAGTTGCTTTCCTTCTCCTTCCGGGAAATACCGAGGAGTTTTAAACGAATGAGACGGATTTGTAAGGTGCATCCTAACAGCGAAATCTAAGTTTTTTATCCAGATCTGTAACTAAAAGATAATACAAACACTAGAATTCAGTCTACTCCCCTTTTCCTTATCACAAACAACAAAAACAAAACAAAATCAGAGTTATGCAGAATGATCTGCTAACTTGTACGTGTGACCCTGAAAGCTTTGTAACACTATACAAGATTCTAACCATTAGGCTTTGAGTAAAAAATCATCATTAAAAATTACTTAAAATTATCTAAATACTTCCAGTGGCTGACGGTATTTATACAGATGCAAAAGAGGTGAAAAAAAAAAGTCACCATGCTGGCAAGTAATGAAATTCCATTTCTGCTCTTTGCACTTAAACTTTTCTCTGTGACCAGAGAATAACAGTAATTGACTGAAAGTGTCCAATGCTCATAGATGAACAATGCCTCTGACTGTAAGATTTTTTTCTTCTGTGCTACTTCAGTTCAGTAAAATCATAATAAGTCCAAAAGTATCTTCTTTGTAGCCCAGAAAAACATAGTAATTTAACGAGGCTAGAAAATACTGGCTAATTTAGCAAGCCTCATGCAGATGACAACCCTGTGGATTATTTCAATGGTCATGTGAGAATATATTAGGGAAAAGAAAAACAACTTGAAGGCAGGTAACATGAGCAAATGCAAATATATGCCATTTGGTCCTAAAGACTATGCCGACAGCAAGAATACACGAGTTCTTTTGCACAAAAACAATCTCCGAGGGAAAATTAATTTTTCTTTCAAAATAGCCTCCCGTGTTTTGGATCCCACCCACTTCACTTAGGCAATTCCATTAAGATGATACTCTCTGTCTGCAGTGAGACTTGCTTTCAAGTTACTGTTGACACAACCAAGTAGGGTAGGTGGCAAACTGATTTTCTGATACAATCTGCCATGATGGCTGCTGTTTATTGTGGAGTCTTCAAAATGCAATGTTTTCCCTCAAGAAATGCACATATACAAAATGATGCCAAATGCAGAGGTTTAAGGGAAGCTCTGCTTTGAATCAAGGGGATGAAGGTTATCCACAGCATGGGGTAAGGAGAAAGAGTTTGAACAGTAAGTCAGGATTTTTACTGTAGCAAACTTCCCAGGTCTCTCTGAAACCTCAGAGTATGTGATTTGTTTTGTGAGCTCTTTGCTATCAGGACATGAATCACATCTATATTCAAATAGATGAACCAAAACACTTTACAAAGTCAAATACAAATTATCTTAGACTGCACCACTGATGATACGAGTATAGATAAACAGAGGACTGATTAACTACCTTATATTTAAATGATTCAAAGTTTTGAGTTAATTTTATATAGGTAATTATTTCTCACATACAGTGGGAGTAAACTGAGGTGCTATTTTTGATTTATCCTCACACCTAGCTTTTCCTTTCACCTCTAGATGGCTCCCAGATCACTATCTCCAGCCCAAATTGCTTCTGAAGCTTCAACGTCCTCCTATATTTCTCCATTTAGATATGTCATAGGCTCTCCAAACCCAAATGCTCCAAACCGAATATAATATTTCTTCCTTAAATCTTAGCCTCCCTAAGGCACCACTCTCCAGCAACTTACTCATAAGAAGTCATCCTCAACACATCCTTATAAACAAATCAAGCTCTTAACACTGTATTCCTAACGTATTCTACCTTCCGAATACCTCTGAGAGTTCTACCCTCCCTTCTATTTCCACCCCTGCTGTGTTAGTGTGAACCTTCAACATGTCCCACCTGGAATTCTGTGATAAGCTTCTTCCTTCTCAGGTCCAGGGTTCCCTAAGCCTTCCTCCAACCTGGCGTCACTATGATCTTTCCAGAAGTCAAGTCCGGCCATGCAGTCTTTACTTAAAATTCTCTGAGCCTCTTAACCATTTTAAGGACAAAGTCAATGCAGGCTCTGGGGCCTTCTTTCTTCACCTGGCCCTTGCCTGCCTTTAGGCTCAAATTCTGCCATTTCCATGGGTGGTAAAATGAGGCTTGGGTCACATTTGAGATGGTTGTGTAGGCAGACTTTACCTTCGTATAGTAGAGAAGTACATTTGTTGCGTGATTTTTAAAAATTAGAATATATTACATGTAATTTTTTAAAACCAAAACTTTATGTGACATATTCCTCTAAACTTCAATGAAAAGCAACTTTAGTCAAGCAAAAAAAAAAAATTAAAAATTAAAAAATAAAGCAGAGAAATAACAGTAATGAAGAATAGATTTACATGTACAAAACTCTTACCCAATGTCTGCCGAAAAGATATCTTCCAACCTCTCGCCTCTTGAAATGAATCCGTTTTGAACACCAGGTGCATACTGTTATTGCTGCTCTTGACAATGGGTGGCAGCTTGGAACCACAGAACTTGCCAAGAAGGGGGTCACTGATGCTGGAACCATCGTAAACTGCCAGGTAGTCTTGGGAGCAAAAGCTGGAGGGAACCACATCAAAATCGATGAACCTGTGAAATAAACCTTGTTACCATTGATGTTCTCCATTTGGATTTCCATTAAGTCATACCTTTAGTTCTTGTCTAAAAAAAAATAGACAAGACAAAGGCTAAAAGCAGAATATCCAAGCTTTGTTTGACAGGAAATGTGAGAAACAATATACTGTTTTACTAATCAGTGCAAAAGTTTAGCCAAAATTTTTTGAGTGACTTTAACATGTCAAAAGGTATGATAAGCACTGGGGATAAAATGAATAAGATATGGTCCTGGACATCTAGGAGTTTACAGTCAAGGACATAGTAAGTCTATCTGAGATTAAGTTTTGATAAATTGAACTGAGATTTATTTATCATTTCAGCAACACTTTAGTTTTTTAATCTCATTAAAAGTATGGCATTTACTCTGTTCTTTTGTTATTCTGTGCCATCAAGTAGTGCTATCATTCTATTTTTTACTAATGGGAAGAATGCTAATAGAGTGGAAGGAATGCTGATTTTAGCATCATAGCTCCATTCTCATTCTCGCAGTCCGTTACTCTCTTTTAAAATGAAGTTTATAGTAAGGTTAACTGCAACAACATGCAAACATCAACCTTTGGTATCCACCATATAATAGATGTCTTCAAAAAAGACAAAACAAGTGATTGTTAATATCACTTTGAAAACCAGGAATATGAGATAAATTAGTTTTCATAAAGGCAATAAAAAAAAATATAAAAATCAGTGGTAGAAAAGAATGAATAGATTCTCAGGAGTCTCATTTGATTGCCATAAGCAGAAAGTCACTCCAGCTCATTGTGACAGTGCTGGGAAGCTCGCCACACCGCCCCAGCTCTGCCTTGCCTACACTCACCAGGGCTGTCCTTTTGTGCACACTGTGAGGCTGGACACGGCCCCAAGACTTGCTTTGGCCATGGAAATGGAAGCAGGAGTAGAAGCTATTACTTTTTGGAAAAATTTCGTAAAACTACTACTCAGTTTGTCACATTGCCTTCCCATGGCAATGATGGTCGTGGAAGCAAATGTAGAAATAAAGTGTCCGTCGACCTGAGCCACTGAGTGGCCATGATGAACAAAGCGTCTGGCTAGGCCACACTGGACATACTCATATGAAAAATAAACTCATCAGGTTAAGCTACTGTGCCTTAGGGTTGTTTGTTACCACTCATAGCCTGTCCTGACAGATACATCCCTAACTTTCTTTTATGGTCTAACATATTATTTAAATCTAGACCTAACGTTTTATCATTTCAAGTAACTATTCCCAAAGTTATCAAACAAACAAGGTTTCTTACATAGTTTTTCTTCAGATTTTATAGTGGGTTTATTATGGCTTATTTTTTTTTAAACTTGTTTAAATTATTTGATATCCTATCTTAATTTTTGTAGGTTTTTCTGCTTTCTCAGTTTTTTTATAGCAGCTGTAATAAATAACATAGAATATAGAATAATTTGAAAATATCTAATTAAAATACTTCCTTTTAATACCTTTAAGACAAAAATCAGTTAATTTTTTGATTAGCTGAATTTTTCAAACTGATGATGAAGAACAATATAAAAGAATTCTTTACCACATGTAACATTTAACACTTTTGTAAAAGAAGATGGGGGCAGAACAAAAGCTAAATAATAATTTCCGGAAACACTACATCCATTTTTATTCTCTATAAACAACACTTTTTTCCATAGCGTAAATCTACAAAAAAAATATAAAGGTTTGAGTTTCCAAGAGGACGCAAAGCTATTTTGGTGTTTTATTTTGCATCATTTCCCCAGGCGAGCAGAGGAGATACCAGGAAAACCTACTGACAGAAAATCTTATGTGACCGGCATATTTTGAGAGCGTTGATAGAAGGCTTTATATTTTACTAATGCCTACAACTTCTGCAGCACCTAGAGCAGTACGTTTCATAGAAAGTAGATTCTTAGAAAGAATATAATAAATAATTTTCTAAACATGCTAATGTGAACTTTGATTATAGTAAGCCCCAGGGCCCCAGCAGGAAACAGAAAAAAATACACACACACACACACACACACAACCCAGGTATAATCAATCCTACACATGTAAGAAACAAGCATTGTACCATAATGGCGAATGACAAGAACCATCCCTTATGCTCCATTCTGGGCAGGTGATCCCTTCACAGGCCTTGTGCTCCTGGCCACCTGGCAATTTTTGTTTATTTTTTGTTCCTAGCATCTAGAGAACTTTTTGTCCCTGGGGCACAGCTTCCTTAGAAATAGTTCCAGGTGAGATCTGCAGTTTCCTTCAGGGACCAGCCTATAGACCACCTACAAGAACCAAACTAAGCTGGATGAGACCTGTCTTACAGTCCATGGACCCATTTTACATACAGCACCCAGGAGGTAAAATGCAGAGGCCTTCTGATTTTTAGGGAGGGGTTGGTAGGAGTAGTCCTAGCCCACCAAACTTCTATTAAAAAACTCATGTTGTTGTGAACTATGCTAGCTTTCAGAGTTTTCCGTCACATGCTGGATATCACTGAAACACAAGAGTTAGAAATATGTCATCTTAGAAATATGTCATTTTGAACTTTATTACTCTGAAGAACTAACTGAAGGTTGTGTTTCCTTAATCAGACTTAAGAGTAAGTAGCGTTATGGGAGAATCTTAGTGATGATGTAAGATATCTCAGATAGCACCAGTTTAGAAGTGTTCTGATACACAAATAAAAATAAACTTCTTAAGTCATTAGAAAATTTATCCTTTCAGAGGTAGCATAGGGAAATATTAGAGACATGGTTTTGGAAAGGAAATCTGATACAGATTCAGATATTGACTCTTCATTTAATAGTGTATCACTTTGGGAACTTAATTTCAACCTTCTGAGCCTCAGTTTTCTCTTTGATAAAATGAGATTGATAATATATACCTCACATGATTGTTTTAAAAATTAAATAAAAGAATTATGGAAAGTGTTAATTTGTGTGTGTGTGTGTGTGTGTGTGTGTGTGTGTGTGTGTGTGTGTAAGTGCCAAACAAATGGAAACTGCTTTCTCTTGCCCTCCCCACATTCTTTGATTTCAAGACAGGCTTATAACTTTATACCCTGTTACATGAAACTCCTTTGAAATTGTTGAGAAATTATAGCAATCATTTTAAGAGGTGGAGTGCCTGTTTCCCCCACTTTACCATGTGCAGTTGGCTTGTGTAGAGGGTGGGAGGCCCACTTCCCAGGCTGATACTATGCAAGGACCTCCCTCTCCCTTTAGATTCCTGTCATTAACTGAATACATTTTCTATAGAGCTGAAACGATTTTCTTAAGAAGGTAGATTTGTTTCACGTACTTGAGCAGAATCACTTTGTCGTCGCTGACTGTGATGTTGTACAAACAGTGCATATTGCTGGGGTAATCTGAATAGGAATAGGAGGGGCTCCGGATGATTCCAGTGGAGAAGTGGAACAGACCTCCACAGACTGCAACAGAAGACGGGAGGGTGCAGAAAACAATTAGTTTTGAGATATTCTTTACTATTGTATCTTTTCCCTAAGAGATATAATAATTATTTGTCTTAAAGCAACTTAAACCTCTCTTTACTGTGTTTACAAATAATTCTGATTCTTCCACTGAGGTGGGGGTGGGGGAAAGAGACAGTAAGGGGTAGAAACTGTAAAGAAATTTTTCAGGCACACCTTGGAACAGAACAAGTCTGACTAAAATTAATGGTCAGAGTGAAAATAATGAGAAAGAATATTTCATGTGAAGGGATGTAACTGTCCTTTCTCTACACTTAATTCCCAGATTCAGAAAGATTATGGTGATAACTGGAAGTTTAGAAAAGGTACAGAATCCAAGGCATGTACTGGGCATGTGGACTCAGGAAGGTCTGTGACCTAGAAATCTTAAATAATACAGATTAGAGTCTCCTCTGTCAAAGCCAGACTATCAAAAAGGGAAATATGGGAAATCATTTTTGGAACATTTGGGTTTAGTTACCTCCGTGGGCTCAAATGCATAATAGCTCTGTGTATTTCTTTTTAGTTGTGAGATTGGTAAGGACCATACTTGCTACATTTGTATTACTAGTATCCAGCAAGCGTGAGGACAGGCCCATTCCCCACCCTGACTCCAACAATCAAATGCCCAGAGCCCTTAGTTACTACCATCAGTCAATAAAACAACAGCCATAAAACTTTAATAAGTCCATTAAAAAATAAGATAATTATTATTTTTGCTCAGACATACATAGGAGAATCAGGTTGTGCCAACTAATGACAGAACGTGCCCTACTCTCATTGCGGTTTATATTTATTTATTTTGTGATTCCAAAATTAGAAAAGGGCCAGTATATTTTGATGCTAGTTTTACAGTTTATATACTACCAATGGACATATTCCACTGATATCCCTTAGAAATGTGAAATAAATTGTGGCTGCCATTTAAGGCTATTTATTTATTTATATATTTAGCCTCAGCTGAGCCCACTTTGTGGGAAAAGCTATTCTCTATACGCCCACAAGTATTCATGTGCTAAGACCTCCGAGGACATTTGTAGTGAATTAAATGTCAGATTTGTGTACCCATTACTCCATTTCATCTTGTACACAATTATGTGGTCTCTAAAAGCTTATCAAAGCCTAAATAACTCCCAAATTTGTACACTGTAGGGATCTGAAATCTTAATATCAACGACATTCTTCATTTAAAGTGAGACTCTCGTAGGGGGTATGTGAAAACTTGTATAGTGTTTTAGGAAAATGAGGGATTAAAGAGTAAAAGAATATGAAGCAGGGATGTAACTCTCTAAAACACCAGTTGCACCAAGAGAATAAAAGAAATCAACCTTTTTTCTTTATGTAACAAGGCAACCGGGGGGAGGAGTGTTCACTGCTCAGTTCTACTCTGTGCCAACAGATCCACAAAGCCAGACTACTGGACTTCAGAAATGGGGCTCAGGACTCAGGTAGCAGCTCATGTGAATGAACTGCGAAGGCGTTTTTCATGAGTAAGTAAACATGTTCAGTCTTCTCTGTAGATGGAAACAGTTATTTATATAAAGATAATTATTTAAGTTTCTACTTTTAGCAGTGGGTTTGGTCAAGATAAAACAAAACAAAGACTTTGCATGATTTGTGTGCTCATTTCACTGAGGCTGGGAAGGGTGATGCAGGAAAAATGCTGTGAGCAAACCAACCAACCAGGTTTATTATAATGCAGGAGAGGAAAAGACTATCAAAATAGGAAAATATAATCTGATGATTTTCAAATAAACATAGATCGAATTGTCTATAAAGAATGAAAAGATCCTGGTAGCTACAAAGACCTTGGCCCAGTCTGTGAGCGGTCTTCCCATTTGCCTTTGATACAGAGAAGTTGCAAATTATAACAGAGTTGAATACATCGATCTTTCCTTTTCCTTTAAGGCTTGTACTTTTTGTATGTTGTTAAAAAGAAATCCTTTTCTTCCAGAAGATCATAAAGATATTCTCTTACATTTGTCCTAAATTTATACAATGTTGCTTTTCACATTAGCAAAGTGACTTGGGAAAATGAAATGACACCTGGATAGTCCAGGCCAAAAAGTCACCTTTATGCAATATATACACAACTAAAGATACCAGGAACATTCATTTTAACTTAAATTGTCAAAATAAATCTCAATCTTCCATTTGATTTTCAAAGAAAGTTGGTGATGTACAAATTGTAACTAAAAATCTTTATGGAAATCACTCGAGAAGAAAGTAAAATTCCATACTACATCGCTGTAAATACTCACAGGTTATCCTATAGGAAAACTTGAATCCCAAGTCGGTGGTGTGGGAATTGGAGTAGAAGTTAAGCAGCACTGGGCCAGAGATGGTGAGAGGAGACAGGATCTCGTCACCACACACGGTGGCAAAGGGTGTGGAAGCCACGCTGTGACCCCTGATAATGTGCACACCGTCATTGTCACAGCCTCCCGTTACCGTTGAGCGAGCTGTACAAAATGTGGAACAACCAGCATTTTAATCAGAAGCACTGTAAACAATCAATGTAATGAAGATTCATGCAATTTAAATAGAAATGAAAATGAGAGTCAGGAGCTATTTCGGTACGTCATCATTTTAACTTGGTTTCCTGATGAAATGATGTTTGCCCTAGTCACAAAACAAGTACAGGTACGAGAACACAGGGAGAAATTCACGACAGAAAAATCTCACTTTGAAACAATCCAGACTTGTCTTTCTTTATCCAATGGTTCTTTAATTCAATGATTACAAACTGGAGACAATTTTGCCACCCAGGGCCATTTGGCAATATCCAAAGGCATTTTCTACTGCCGTGCTGGGGTGCGCTCCTGGCCTGGAGCAGGCACAGCCCATGGATGCTGCTAAATATGCTGCAAACTCAGAGCAGCCTCACAGCCCTCCCTCCCCAGCCACAACAAAAGTCACCTGGCCCCATGTGTCAATGGTGCTGCCAGCGAGAAACCCGCTGTAACTCAAAGCTTATGACAGATACGGAACGCCCATCATGGAGAGATATTTAGAAATGTCTAAATATCTGGGTGTTTATTGAACACCCATTATCAATGTTCACACAAGCAATATGGTTGTAAAACATATATTGTCATTTTGTTTTCTAATTCTAAAACAAATGTATATTGCAAGCTATCCCAAAGAGAAATAAAAAACAGAATAAACAAAAAATTAAAAAGCTTGTTATTACCATGACTTATCCAGCCATTTTATAGTTGAATTATGTTGTTAAAACATTAATTGGAATCATACTGGGCATGACCTTTCATAACCTAATTTTTACTAATGTAAAATAAGATGAAATCATGCTACTTTATGTGATTAAATATTCTTCTAAAATGTTAAATTTAATGCATATATTAAATTATAACATATAGATGTGCCATTCCATGTTCAATTATTCCCCTATGCTTGATAATTCTATCTTTTCCACTTTTCTTGTGATTAAAAATGTTGTCAAACATTCTGTACATAAATATTTGTGGAGGTTTCTCATTATTTCACTGGTATAAATTTTCAGAAGTTGAGTTACCGGTACTGAGGTAAGTTTTTCTTTTTCCGATTTGTCAGATGGCCTTTTGATAAGGTATCACCAACTCACAGTGCCACAGCACTTCCGACAGCTGACGCTTCCCCCAGTTCTACATTTTCATCACCTTGCAGGGAAACTCTGTACCCATTAAAAACCACTCCCCACTTCCCTCTCCCTCTTCATGGCTCTCCCACTCCTGCCTAACCAACCACTAACCTATTTACTGTCTCTATGGATTTGTCTGTTCTGGCCATTTCACATAAACAGAATCATATGATATGCAGCCTTTTGTGACTGGCTGCTTTTACTTAACATAATGTTATTGAGGCTCGTCTGTGTTGTAGCCTGTGTCAGTACTTAATTCCCTCCAAGGCTGAACAGTACTCCATTGTATGGACAGACCACATTTTGCTTATCATTCAGCAGCTGATGGACATTTGGTTTGTTTCTACCTTTAGGCTGTCATGAATAATGTGGCTACGAACATTCGTGTACAAGGTTTTGAGTGTATACATGTTTTCAGTTCTCTTGGGTATGCAAGTAAGAGTGGAATTGCTGACTCATATGATAACTTCCTACTTCATATTTTGAGGGCCTATCAGACTGTTTGCCAAAGAGGCTGTGCCATATTTTCACCCCACTGGAAATGCATGAGGGTTCCGATTTCCCACATTATTGCCTTGTGATTGTCTGTATTTTTTTTTTTTTTATAGCCATCATTGTGAATATGAAACAGTAGCTCACCACAGTTTGGATTTGCAAATCCCTATGGCTAATGAAGCTGAGTGTCTATGTATGTCCTAACTGAAGAAATGGTTACTTAGACCCTTTGCTATTTTAAAATTGAGTTATATGCCTTTCTATTGTTCTGTTGTAAGAGCTCTTTTACATTCTGGATATTAGCACGATCACATGTTTTTATTTCTCTTGGGTAAATACCTAGGTGGGGAATCACTGAGTCATAGATTACGTGTGTATTTAATTCTATAAGAACTGTCAATCCATTCTTCCAAGTGGTTAAATCTGTATACAGTCTCATCAGGAATGTATGAGACTTCCAGTTGCTCTGCATGCTTGCCAATCTTTGGTATTGTCAGTCTTTTTAATTTTAGTCATTCTGGTATGTGTAAAATGGTACCTCAGTGTGATATTTAATTTACATTGCTCTGATGACTAATGATATGGAATACTTTTCATGTTCATTTATAAACAACAGAAAAACACTTTCATTTCATACAGATGTCAAATTGAACATATATCTAACACCCCCCAACACACACATGTACGCGCACGCACACACATACACACATACACACAAACTTTATTACTTATAAATTCCCCATTGGAATCGAACAAAACGACATGACAATATTTTATACGGTTGCATACTATGACATGGTGGACTCTGAAATCAGACTGTTTGCTGTTAGAACACTCTTAAAAATTAAAAAATTTATGATATACATTTACTTTATAATTTCAAGTCTGCTGGTCATAGACCTTTCTTCAAGAGTGGACATGTGACTTAAGCCAATCCAATTAGGGTAAATTTTAAGACCCTTGTTGGGAAGTCTGGAATAGACAGTAGTATGCTGGTAAATATAACAAGCAATTCTCTGAGGGGGGAAAATAAAGCCCTGATTTGTAGCCTTTGCCAATTTCCACGGTATAAATACTCCCCCTATAGCCAATTTCGAGCTGCCAACATGAGGTTGTTAAATGCAGAATGTGGAATAGAGGAGCATGTTTGACTCTTTCAAGATGGTCTAAGCGAACTCCTGCGTGCCATGGGTTAGCTGCCGTCTCTCTTCCTGATGTGCAGGAGGAGCACACAACCCCACTGCTGCCAGCCTACAGCCAGGAGAGGAACCAGCCTCAGGGGGAGGAGGGTCACAGTACCTGGGGAGCACAGGTGAGACCAGAAAAGGTAGAATACTTGATGACAAAATTAAAATGCTAGAATAAGCAGATTTGAGGCACATCTAACTTTGAGGTCTTCCAGAAGTAATGTCAATAAATTATCTTTTTATGTTTAAACCAGGTTGAATTAAGTTTTCTATTAATGGTACCATAAAAATCCATAACCAATATAGTATGGATTAGTATAATCTAATCATAATTATAGTAGCTATTATTTTTTTACAGAACCCCGCCATCCTGAGCACTGTTGATAGATTGATCGATAACTCCGAGGTGGAACATCACACCTGGCCCAGGCCAGTCAGGTGTGCTCGAATCATAACTGAGTAAGAGAGAGTCAACAGTAGGAGCCAAAGGTGTTCAACCTAGGACATGTCGGCAGTCGTCTCCCGATGAGGAAAGGAAGGCAGACAGTCATAAGGGAATATGAGACTGTCATGCAGACAGCAGCAAAAGCGGGGGAGGGCGGGGAGCAGCATTCTGAAGGACGCCTGTTTCTGCCTGCATTTGATCCGGAAGCCCGTCACTCCCCTTCTGGGTTTACATCTCCCTTTGAGGAGATGAGATGACCCTGTGTCCTTCCTTCAGGCCCTCATTTATACCTACACTAACTTGAACGTAATCTGCCACCTTAAACTGAAAGAGTCTTGAATGCATTTTTTTTTAACATATATTTACATTAAAAAGTTCCCTTCCCTTTTTAGATCTGAGTATCACCTTACGTAAAATTGATATTTTTATCAGAAAATATCTATGCAATTTAAGTCTCAAGTCATTTTAGGAAAATATTTGGCTCCTCAGCTAAATTTCTATCTAGCTTACAGAAATCTTGAGATATCAATTCAAGATATATTTATTAAATTAACCTCAAAGAATTCCTTCATTTTGAAAATCCTGGAATAGAAAGGCTTCTAATTGGGCATAAATCTACAATTTAAAAATATGAAATACTTAATTTCAATGACCTCATATAATTAGAAGCAATATGATGTTGGAAAAACAGGACAAAGAAGAAATAGTCTAAACAGATTCATGGTTTAAATATTGCCAGAATTTGTCTGCAAGACACCAATAGCTCCACTGGAATTTTAAAAATTTAAAGTATGTGAATTTGAGGAAAAAAATGTTGTGCATTAATTACAAAAATACCTTTAGGCAGAAAAAATATATAAAATTGCAAAACCAAAATGACAAAATGAAAAGAAATATCGCTAATGCTAGATTAAAATCCTGGTGTCACTTTGGTCAAATGGCTTGCTATGCAGGTGTTCTTTTTAGTTTTTAAGTTGTTGGGCGAATAATATAGACTATCACAGTAATCGTTGTTTTATAAAATTATGGAAAGCCTGTGAAAAATAAGGTAAAGTGTGCCATATGCTTGATTATTCTTCCAAATAACTAAAAGAACTGGTTTAATTATAGAAAGGTCTACCAACATAGAGATGATATATCTATGTTGAGATATAACCATAACTCATGAACTACTTACAAAAGATTTGTGTACAACAGTAAGGAAGTTGGGCAGGGAAGAGGCAGAGGAAGTAGAGAGGAAATTTTTTTTTTTATTTATTTAAAAATTTTTTCTTAATTAAAAATTATTGGGGTGACATTGACTAAGAAAATCAAATAACTTTCAAATGTACAATTCAATAGTGTGTCATATATATATTGCATTGTGTGTTCCCCACTCAAGGTTAGATTTTCTTCCTTCACCAAATATTTGACCTGTTTTAACCCTATTCATCTTCCCCCACTTCCCCAGAGGGAATTTTAATTTTTTTGTAGATAGCAACAGATTATCAATTAACTAAACAAACCACTGAAGATAACAACCTCATTCTCAAAGCCCGACTCAATAAATTATGAAAGTTATGATATCTGGCAAGTTGCTTGATGGATTAAAACATTCTTATAGTTTTTCCGGTAGTCATTTCTTTAAGGTGGTTGTCCTTCAAAATTTTTCCACAAGAAATCAAACATTATATAATATTAGATCTTGTAAAGTTA